ATCTTCATCGTAGGACTTTTTTTGAAATTATCGCATTCCCCAATAGTGGCATTCGAGCCAGGTCTATGCGTAGATGTTATATGCACGAGTAGAACACAAAGAGTTGTGGGTGATAATAGTCATACCGCTTACCACCAACGTCTTACTTTGATTCGGCGGTATTGTTGGATGAAGCGGCCCGGACCGACATTACATGACCGCGTTCATGAGACTGGTTCTACCGATGTGCTTTTGCACAAAGGTGGTTGGTGGGTGTCTGTCTCTCCAACTTTAGTTGAATCAAGTTTGACTATGGACGGTCCTTGTTGAAGGTTAAAAACACTTGACGAAAAATCATTGTGGGTTTGATGCGTAGGTAAGAACGGTTCTTGATAGAAGCCCGTAGCAGCCACGTAAAATTTGCAACAACAAAGTAGAGGACATCTAATTTGTTTTTGCAGGGCTTGCTATGATGTGATATAGTCAAGACATGATGTGATATAAATTGTTGTATGAGATGATCATGTTTTGTAACAGAGTTATCGGCAACTGGCAGGAGCCATATGGTTATCGCTTTATTGTATGCAATGCAATTGCCATGTAATTGTTTTAATTTATTGCTAAGCGGTATCGATAGTCGTAGTAGCGATAGTTGGTGAGATGACAATGATGCTTCGATGGAGATCAAGGTGTCAAGCCGGTGACGATGGAGATCATGACGATGCTTCGGCGATGGAGATCATGAGCACACGATGATGATGGCCATATCATGTTACATATTTTGATTGCATTTGATGTTTATCTTTTATGCATCTTATTTTGCTTAGTACAGCGGTAGCATTATAAGATGACCCCTTATTAAAATTTCAAGGTATAAGTGTTCTTCCTGAGTATGCACCATTGCGACAGTTCTTGGTGCTGAGACACCACGTGATGATCGGGTGTGATAGGCTCTACGTTCACATACAACGGGTGCAAGCCAGTTTTGCACATGCAGAATACTCGGGTTAAACTTGACAAGCCTAGCATATGCAGATATAGCCTCGGAACACTGAGACCGAAAGATCGAACGTGAATCATATAGTAGATATGATCAACATAGTGATGTTCACCATTGAAAGCTACTCCATCTCATGTGATGATCGGACATGGTTTAGTTGGTTTGGATCACGTGATCATTTAGAGGACTAGAGGGATGTCTATCTAAGTGGGAGTTCTTATGTAATATGATTAATTGAACTTTAATTTATCATGAACTTAGTCCTGATAGTTATTTTGCATGTCTATGTTATTGTAGATCAATGGCCCGTGCTACCATTCCTTTGAATTTTAATGTGTTCCTAGAGAAAGCTAAGTTGAAAGATGATGGTGACAATTACACGGACTGGATCCGTAACTTGAGGATTATCCTCATTGCTACACAGAAGAATTACATCTTGGAAACACCGCTGGGTGCTAGGCCTGCTGCAGATGCTACTGATGACATTAAGAACGTCTGATAGAGCAAAGCTGATGACTACTCGATAGTTCAGTGTGCCATGCTTTACGGCTTAGAATCGGGACTTGAAAGACATTTTGAACGTCATGGAGCATATGAGATGTTCCAAGAGTTGAAGCTAATATTTCAAGCAAATGTCCGAGTTGAGAGATATGAAGTCTTCAACAAGTTCTACAGCTGTAAAATGGAGGAGAATAGTTCTGTCAGTGAACACATACTCAGAATGTCTGGGTACCATAACCACTTGACTCAGCTGGGAGTTAATCTTCCTAATGATAGTGTCATTGACAGAGTTCTTCCACTACTAGGAAAAACCTTATACACAGAATCTTAGCAGCAGCGCGGCACAAAAAGAGGCGCTACTGCTAATTAGTAGTAGCGCGGGTTGTAAACCCACGCTACTACTAAGTTGATAGCAGTAGCGCGGGGTATAAACCCACGCTACTACTAAGTGTTCTCCACCGCGCCCGCCCGGACAAGCAGTAGTAGTAGCGCGGGGTATAAACCCATGCTACTACTAAGTTGATAGTAGTAGCGCGGTTTGTAAACCCCGCGCTACTACTTTGTGGTCTTCATCGTGCCTCCCGTGACAATGCCGTAGTAGCAGCGTGGGGTATAAACCCAGCGCTACTACTATAGAACCACCGACGCATGTATACACACATAGGCGGAGGCCAAAGCCCAAATTCCCCTCCTGATCCACTCCGCTCGCTCTTCCTCTCCTTTTTCCCCGGCGCCGCCGCCCGACGTCCCCACTAAGCACCACCCGTCCGCCACCGCCACCGCCTCCCTCTCCCTCTCCACCCGCGCACGCGCCGCCTCCCCCAGCGCCCTGTCCCCCTCGCCGTCTCCTTCGGCAGACGGGGTCGGCCCCGCGACACCGATGCGGGGCAACGTGTACCTGGGGCGGCAGCTCGCGGCCGCGGCCGCGGCGGGCGCCCGCACGCGCGCGCCGGAGGAGGACGTTGAGAGGCGCCACCGCCGCAAGGAGAAGCGGAGGGCCCTGGCCAAGAAGATGACCCCAACACACACACTCCCGCTCCCATCCTCTTCTCCCGGGATGCAAGCAGCTGCAAGAAAGGGCGCGGCGGCGGCGTCCTTCCACTCCACCGCCGCAGCGCTCTCAAAGTCCACGGTGCGCCCACCCTGACTTTCCCCATCCATCTCTTTCTCCCTCTTTCTTTTTTCCTGATGACGAATCAATTCGATCCACGCATCCAGTTCAATTCTTGCTCTCCAAATCCCGTTAGGATTGCTATACTAGATAGGCTAGGAGAGCTGGCTAGGCTGTAAAAGAGGAATATTTACTGCCCGGGATCATCATCACAGTCAGCTTAGCAGGGTGATTAGTTTGCACGCTTCAGCAATGGAAGCTCTATTGTGCTGTGCATTATTCAGGTCCACTGCACATTTGAGGTCTACCTCAATTTCATAATGAAATTCAAATTGGGGGTTCCTTTAATTTCACCCACAAAAAATTGAGTGCCTGAGGGCTTGCCAAATGCCAAGTACAGTAGCATATGCGCGTATTCAATAAAACTATTTGGGATGTGAGCTTGACCATGGTTCTGTAATTATTTTTGCACAGCCTCGTATCTGGTTCAACGTCCGAGAAAAGCACACAGACGCGAAGAATGCCCTTAAGAACATTCTGCTTATCAGAGCATGGACTAACATGACACAGTGTGTTTCCTTTCGCCTGTCGTCGCTGTCGGTGGTGAAAATTCGATGCCAAATCACACCTGATGGCTGATGTAGTGTCTGCACTAGGAAATGAAATTCTAAAGTGACGATTTGTTTATCTTGACTGTATGATTGCTGGACATGACAACATTGTCTTGTTTGTATCCTGTGTGAGCGGAAGAAGAGGCACAACCAACTGAAGACCGTGCTATGCGGGCGGTGCAAGCTGCTGTCGCACGGAAGGTGTTTGACAAAATGACCAAATAAGGTAAGAGTGGCTTTCATAGTTCTAGTACTACTTGGTGTTTTTGTTTCTCTCTGTAATGTACTAATGTGAGTCTAACGATTAAATGGGAGGCGAGACGACAACGTTGCTTTGACTCAAACAAACCGTCGGCTCGGCCGCCGCCTGCTGCAACGATTGACCTCCGTAGGTCATTTTCTAGGATTTGATAGGGTTAATGTGACACACTCCCCGTAGGTCATTTTCTAGGATTTGATAGGGTTAATGTGCTACTCTTATCAGGCATGTACTTTATTCTAATCAAATTTGATAGGGTTAATGTGACACAATACCTGTAGGTCATTTTCTAGGATTTGAAAATAACTGCTAGTACTTGTGTGCAGGCTGCTAATAATAGCATACTTTATTCTAATCAAAATTTCTATGCAATTCAATCCGGAAAGCCACTCTGTTAGTAATACAGAACTAGCATTTATTTAGACTGAAAATATGCACTGTAATTTAATGTGCATTTTTGCCCAGTAATGTGTATTCCTTCTCTTTTTGGTTGCCTGAATTTAAAGTGGTTTTGGACTATAATTTTCAGTAATGTGTCACTTCTAGTTTACCTGAATATTTTTGTATTCTTATCAGTTTTGTGCCCCATTCTAAAGAAGTTCAGTAAATGTGTACGTCCCATTCCATAAATACAATATTTTACAAACCATTTAGATACAAAAACCTGATCTTTGTTTTCTTTTTCACAAGAAGCTATTTTTGGCTTACATGAAGGGATGCATGCTCTTCATCTTGCCTTTGTTTCCTTCGGCTTCTTGATTCTGAAATTTTAAGATAATTGTAAGTACTCAGTATCATGTTCTTAAGCAAAGCTACTGTTTTTGGCTTGAATTACAGTGTTTTTCTGACCTATGTACAGTGTCAATAAAATCTAAATTTCAAGATGGAGATACAGTTTTTGGTGGCATCTTACATCACAGTCGTTAGTCTTAAGATTTTAGAAAAAAACACTGTATCAGGAATACAAGTGTTTATGAAACTACTGTTGTTGGTTTAGCCAAACACTTCACAGTTTCCGAAACTACAGTTTTGTAGAAACCATAGTATTCTGATTGAGCGCACGAAAAAACACAAAAAAATTCTAGTTTATTTTACTTCCTTTTGTAGTATGAAAATCAAAAAAAAATTTATTTCTCTACCTTTTGTACTAACGGAGAGGGAAAGTCACAAAAAAATGTTTGTTTTTAGGGTCGAGCAGTCAGTTGGTTTGTTTCTCACTCGAAAATGTTTTTGGTTTTGCGGGGTTCGATGTGTACATTGTGCATCAGCATACACTGCTAGCTACCTGTGGAGATCAACACTAAAGAATAAACAAATCCTGGTAATTCTTTCATGTAGGATGCTTATGTCGTCTCAAAACTGTCAACCTGGCTCATAGAATGATCTTTTTATTTAGGATTCATGGTTATTTTTTTTGTTTTCTTGTTATTATGCACTACTACGAGTTCATTGTATTAAGATTCCTTAACTTTAGGCACCTGAGCTATTTACAAAAGGAGGGGACCCAGCCTTCTTCACGGCTCGCGGCAATGTCTCCCAATGATTCGTTCGTGTAACAAGGAGGGGACCCGCCCTTCTTCACGTCTCGTGCAACAAGTAAGGACCACCCTCTGGCTATTACTATTGATTCATGTGCATGTGCTAAAAAGTAAGAAAATACCCTACTGGATTTGGACGCTGACGAGCACTAACAAGTTTTCACTTTCCCGACGTGGCCACAGGGGTGATCGACGCGGACTACCGCTGCCTGGTGGGCGTCGTGTTCTTCAACCACTCGGAGGTGGACTTCGCCGTGAAGCCTGGCGACCGCGTCGCACAGATGATCGTCCAGGTGATCGTGACGCCGGAGGTCGCCGAGGTGGAGGACCTCGATACCATCATTTGGGGGGAGGGAGGATTGGGGTCCACCAGCATCTGAACTCCGAGCCTTGGTAGATACATTTAGAGAAGTGGTATGTTTAGGCTATTGGTGGAACACTAGGAAAGGTACCCACCTTTGGTTGTGTGCGTTTACTGTTAAATGGAATCACGTGATCTCTTGCAGTTGAGATGTTCAATATTGCATCCATGAATGGTGCAAGTGTTAAGATGGTCCTGTGACCTTAATTTATTTTGCAATGGACGTGTCTCTGATCTTCATCCATGAATGCTGCATCTATTTTTTATTTTTTTATTCTTAATTTGTTAGTAGTAGCGTGGGGGGAAAATGTGTGCTACTAGTATTTAAGATACTAGTAGCGTGTGTTATAATAGATGCACTACTACTGTTCTGTTATTAGTAGCGCGGGCTTCAAATAGTAGTAGCGTGGGTGGCATCCGCGCTACTACTTAGCGCGGGTTGCACCCACGCTACTACTAACTTTTAGCTGTAGCGTGATACTAGTAGCGCGGGTACCCGCGCTACTAGTAGCCAATTTACCCAAGCTGCTAGTAGCCTTTTCCCTAGTAGTGTTCAATCGCTGCCACCAAGCTATATAAAGGCTTTGTGATGAACTATAATATGCAATGGATGAACAAGACTATTCTTGAGCTCTTCACGATGCTAAAGGCTGCGGAGGTAGAAATCAAGAAGGAGCATCAAGTGTTGATGGTCAACAAGACCACTAGTTTCAAGAAAAAGGGCAAAGGGAAGAAGGGGAACTTCAAGAAGAATGACAAGAAAGTTGCTGCTCATGAGAAGAAACCCAAGTCTGGACCTAAGCTTGAAACTAAGTGCTTCTACTGCAAAGGGACTGGTCACTGGAAGCGGAACTGCCCCAAGTATTTGGCGGATAAGAAGGATGGCAAAGTGAAAGGTATATTTGATATACATGTTATTGATGTGTACCTTAATAATGCTCGTAGTAGTGCCTGGATATTTGATATTGGTTCTGTTGCTCATATTTGCAACTCAAAACAGGGGTTACAGATTAAATGAAGATTGGCTAAGGATGAGGTGATGATGCGCGTGGGAAATGGTTCCAAGGTCGATGTGATCGCCGTCGGCACACTACCTCTACATCTACCTTCGGGATTAATTTTAGACCTGAATAATTGTTATTTGGTGCCACCGTTGAGCATGAACATTATATCTGGATCTTGTTTGATGTGAGACGGTTATTCATTTAAATCAGAGAATAATGGTTGTTCTATTTATATGAGTAATATCTTTTATGGTCATGCACCCTTGCTGAGTGGTCTATTTTTGTTGAATCTCGATAGTGATAATACACATATTCATAATATTGAAGCCAAAAGATGCAAAGTTGATAATGATAGTGCAACTTATTTGTGGCACTATCGTTTGGGTCATATCGGTATAAAGCGCATGAAGAAACTCCATGCTGATGAATTTTTGGAATCACTTGATTATGAATCACTTGGTGCTCACGAACCGTGCCTCATGGGCAAGATGACTAAAACCCCGTTCTCCGGAACAATGAAACGAGCTACTAACTTATTGGAAATAATACATATAGATGTATGCGGTCCAACGAGTGTTGAGGCTCGTGGCGGGTATCATTATTTTCTTACCTTCACAAATGATTTGAGCAGATATGGGTATATCTACTTAATGAAGCATAAGTCTGAAACATTTGAAAAGTTTAAAGAATTTCAAAGTGGAGTGGAAAATTATCGTAACAAGAAAATAAAGTTTCTACGATCTGATCGTGGAGGAGAATATTTGAGTTACGAGTTCGGTCTTCCTTTGAAACAACGTGGAATAGTTTCACAGCTTACACCACCTGGAACACCACAGCAAAATGGTGTATCTGAACTTCGTAACCGTACTTTACTGGATATGGTGCGATCTATGATGTCTCTTACTGATTTACCGCTATCATTTTGGGGTTATGGTTTAGAGACGGCTGCATTCACTTTAATAGGGCACCATCAAAATCCGTTGAGACGACGCCTTATGAACTGTGGTTTGGCAAGAAACCAAAGTTGTCATTTCTTAAAGTTTGGGTTTGTGATGCTTATGTGAAAAAACTTCAACCTGATAAGCTCGAACCCAAATAGGAGAAGTGCGTCTTCATAGGATACCCAAAGGAAACTGCTGGGTACACCTACTATCACAGATCCGAAGGCAAGATCTTTGTTGCTAAAAATGGATCCTTCTAGAGAAGGAGTTTCTCTCGAAAGAAGTGAGTGGGAGGAAAGTAGAACTTGATGAGGTAATTGTACCTTCTCCCTTATTGGAAAATAGTTCATCACAAAAATCAGTTCTAGTGATTCCTACACCAATTAGTGAGGAAGCTAATGATGATGATCATGAAACTTCAGATCAAGTTACTACCGAACCTCGTAGGTCTTCCAAAGTAAGATCCACACCAGATTGGTATGGTAATCCTGTTCTAGAAGTCATGTAAAGATACCATGGTGAATCTACGAACTATGAGGAAGCGATGATCCCAGATTCCGCGAAATGGCTTGAGGCCATGAAATCTGAGATGGGATCCATGTATGAGAACAAAGTGTGGACTTTGGTGGATTTGCCCAATGATCAGCAAGCCATAGAAAATAAATGGATCTTCAAGAAGAAGACCGATGCTGACGGTAATGTTACTGTCTACAGAGCTCAACTTGTTGTGAAAGGTTTTTGACAAGTTCAAGGAGTTGACTACAATGAGACTTTCTCACCCGCAGCGATGCTTAAGTTTATCTGAATCATGTTAGCGATTGCCGCATTTTATGATTATGAAATTTGGCAGATGGATATCAAAACTGCATTCCTGAATGGATTTCTGGAAGAAGAGTTGTATATGATGCAACCAGAAGGTTTTCTCGATCCAAAGGGTGCTAACAAAGTATGCAAGCTCCAGTGATCCATTTATGGACTGGTGCAAGCCTCTCGGAGTTGGAATAACGCTTTGATAGTGTGATCAAAGCATATGGTTTTATACAGACTTTTGGAGAAGCCTGTATTTACAAGAAAGTGAGTGGGAGCTCTGTAGCATTTCTAATATTATATGTAGATGACATATTGTTGATTGGAAATGATATAGAATTTCTGTATAGCATAAAGGGATACCTGAATAAGAGTTTTTCGATGAAAGACCTCAGAGAAGTTGCTTACATATTGGGCATCAAGATCTATAGAGATAGATCAAGACGCTTAATTGGACTTTCACAAAGCACATACCTTGATAAAGTTTTAAAGAAGTTCAAAATGGATCAGTCAAAGCAAGGGTTCTTGCCTATGTTACAAGGTGTGAAGTTGAGTCAGACTTAAAGCCCGACCACTACAGAAGATAGAGAGAAAATGAAAGTCATTCCCTATGCTTCAGCCATATGTTCTATCATGTATGCAATGTTGTCTACCAGACCTGATGTGTGCCTTGCTATAAGCATAGCAGGGAGGTACCAAAGTAATCCCGGAGTGGAGCACTAGACAGCGGTCAAAATTATCCTTAGAGGACTAAGGAAATATTTCTCGGTTATGGAGGTGATAAAGAGTTCGTCGTAAAGAGTTATGTCGATGCAAGCTTTTACACCGATCCAGATGACTCTGAGTCTCAATACATATTGAAAGTGGGAGCAATTAGCTAGAGTAGGTCCATGCAGAGCATTGTATACATAGAATATTTGCAAAATACATACGGCTCTGAATGTGACAGACCCGTTGACTAAAACTTCTCTCACGAGCAAAACATGATCACACCTTAGTACTCTTTGGGTGTTAAACACATAGCGATGTGAACTAGATTATTGACTCTAGTAAACCCTTTGGGTGTTAGTCACATGGCAATGTGAACTATGGGTGTTAATCACATACAGATGTGAACTATTGGTGTTAAATCACATGGCGATGTGAACTAGATTATTGACTCTAGTGCAAGTGGGAGACTGAAGGAAATATGCCCTAGAGGCAATAATAAAGTTGTTATTTATATATCCTTATATCATGATAAATGTTTATTATTCATGCTAGAATTGTATTAACCGGAAACTTGGTACATGTGTGAATACATACACAAAACATAGTGTCCCTAGTATGCCTCTACTTAACTAGCTCGTTAATCAAAGATGTTATATTTCCTAACCATAGACATGTGTTGTAATTTGATGAACGGGATCACATCATTAGGAGAATGATGTGATGGACATGAACCATCCGTTAGCTTAGCATTATGATCGTTACAGTTTCATTGCTACTGCTCTCTTCATGACTTATACACGTTCCTCAGACTATGAGATTATGCAACTCCTGAATACCGGAGGAACACTTTGTGTGCTACCAAACATCAAAACGTAAAAGGGTGATTATAAAGGTGCTGTACAGGTGTCTCCGAAGGTGTTTGTTGGGTTGGCATAGATCGAGATTAGGATTTGTCACTCCTGTTTCGGAGAGGTATCTCTGGGCCCTCTCGGTAATGCTCATCATTATAAGCCTTGCAAGCAATATGACTAATGAGTTAGTTACGGGATGAAGTATTACAGAACGAGTAAAGAGACTTGCCGGTAACGAGATTGAACTAGGTATGATGATACCGACGATCGAATCTCGGGCAAGTAACATACCGGTGACAAAGGGAACAACGTATGTTGTTATGCGGTTTGACCGATAAAGATCTTCATAGAATATGTAGGAGCCAATATGAGCATCCAGGCTCTGCTATTGGTTATTGACTGGAGATGTGTCTCGGTCATGTCTACATAGTTCTCGAACCCGTAAGGTCCGCACGCTTAACGTTCGATGACGATAAGTATTATGAGTTATGTGTTTTTGATGAACGAAGTTTGTTCGGAGTCTCGGATGAGATCACAGACGTAACGAGGAGTCTCGAAATGGTCGAGACATAAAGATTGACATATTGGACGGCTATATTCGGACACCGGAAGTGTTCCGGAAAGTTTTGGGTAAAACCGGAGTGCCAGAGGGGTTACCGGAACCCCCCGGGGGAACTAATGGGCCACATGGGACTTGGTGGAGAGAGAGAGAGAGGGGCGGCCAGGACAGGCCGCGTGCCCCCTCCCCCTTGGGTCCGAATTGGACTAGGGAAGGGGGGGCCCTTTCCTTCCCCCTCTCCCTCTCCTTCCTTCCTAGTAGGACTCCCCTCTTGGTGGTGGTGGTGGGGGAGCTCCCTAGGGGCGACCGACCTCCCCCTTGCTCCTTTATATAGGGGGGCAGGGGGGCACCCTAAAACACACAAGTTTCTCTCCCAACTGTGTGCGGTGCCCCCCTCCACAGTTAAACACCCCGATCATACCATCGTAGTGCTTAGGCGAAGCCCTGCGTCGGTAGCATCATCATCACCGTCGCCATGCCGTCGTGCTAAAGGAAATCACCCTCATCCTCAACTGGATCAAGAGCACGAGGGACGTCATCGAGCTGAACGTGTGCTGAACGCGGAGGTGTCGTACGTTCGGTACTTGATCGGTTGGATCACGAAGAAGTTCAACTACATCAACCGCGTTATTGAAACGCTTCCGCTTTTGGTCTACAAGGGTACGTGGACACACTCTCCCCTCTCGTTGATATGCATCACCTAGATAGATCTTGCGTGACCGTAGGATTTTTTTTTGAAATTACCGCGTTCCCCAACATCAAGGTGGCCTTGGTGTGATTTCCTCGAAGAGCATGAATATCGCCCTTCTCGCCAAGTGGTTGTGGCGCATTGAGACCGGTGCCAGTGGGCTATGGTTGGATGTAATCCGCGCAAAGTATTTGCGTGGGCAACCACTCGCCTTCGCCCCCAAGGTGGGGGGGGGGTCCTAGTTCTGGCAGTCAATTATTCAACTGCTACCGGTCCTTCGGATAGGCACAAAAATTGTTGTGGGCTCGAGTTCTAATTCATTATGCTGGCTGGGTCGATGGACGGGAACTAGACCGTTCGCAGAAAGGTTCTATGCCCTATTCTCGATCTGCCCCACCCACAGCTCTCGGTGGAAGCAGCCCTTCAGGACCTTGGCTCCATCTCCTTTTGTCGCACCTTTGGGGATCTTGAGTGACCGCAGTGGGACGAGCTTTTGGAATGCATAGCTTTGCACAACCTCTCGACCGAATCTGATTCCATGACCTGTCACCTTGAGCCGAGTGGTTCATTCTTGACTAAGTCCCTATATCGGGCAATATTGCCGACTCCGGGTCCAAATGAACTTACGGTTCTTTGGGAAATCAAGCTACCACTGAAGATACATATCTTCATGTGGCAATGGGTCCGTGGCCGTCTGCCCTCGGGCACGGAGGTCCAGAAGCGGAATGGCCCGGGTGATGGCCTTTGTCCTGTCTGTGGCGTCCCGGAAGACTCTAACCACATCTTCTTTCGATGCCCGTCGGCGCGTTTCTTATGCTTTCCGGACGTCGTGGGTGGATCTTGGTGCTATGATGACCTCCCTGACCTATTTAGGGAGGTCTTAGATTCCCCGCCTATTAGTAGGCTGTCTCTTTGGGTCACGGTAGGCACCCTGGCGTGGACCCTCTGGAATTGCCGCAATAAATTAGTGATCGAGCACGTCATTCCTTGCCGTGTCACTGACGTTGTCTTTAAAATGTGTGGATTTCTATAGCTCGTGGAGACCACTTAGCAAGCGGCGCGACCGTGGCTACATCGACTCCATCGTCGCCGGTCTTCGTTCTATGACTGCCGCGATGTCCCCGCCGTCTCCACCACCGCCGCCGGAGCCTCACTAGAGTTCCATTCCTTGTAGTTGGGGCTTGTTTTGGTTGTGCCCCTAGCTGTACCTCCTTTATTTGCTTTGCTTTCTGTACTTTGCACTATGCTACCCTTTGTTGTTGCATGCTTGGCGGTTCTGCTTTATATATAAAGCGGGGAAAACCCTTTTTCGTTTGGTTGCAAGGATTAGACTTTTTTTAGTCCTAGGGACTAAAGAAAAAAGACCCTTCAGTAAAGTCTTTTTCTAGTCCCTTAAGAAAAAGTCCCTCCTATTTGATTACACAGGGACTAAAAGAGACTTTTTCTAGTCTAATCCCTGTAACCCAGCACCCCGTGAGATTGAGATATCACATACCGCATCCAATTCCCGCGTACCAGCAAAAGACTATGCATACGGCAATATTTAACGTCATGTGGCCGTTGGAATCATTTGGGCGGTTGACGCAACAACTTAATTTTTTTTTGCAGGTAACAACTTAAGCATTGACATTGATCATGTTGTTGCGTCTAGCGATGGAGGAAGAACGGATCAACAGTCGGATGGTTTTGTACGCCCAGGAAATTTCGCCGTCGCGTGGCGAGCGATGTACACGACGGCTATGTTTCACCTCGCTCGCCACGCGGCACGCATCAACATATATGTACACGACGGACCGGCAACTCGATCAGCAAGCAAGTTACACCGAATCAGTACGTAGCGAGAACTCAACCGCGCGCGCACTCTCATGGCGGGGCCGGCAGCTGTGCTCGTGCTCCTCTCTTTGCTCGCGCTCTGGAGCTGCGCCGTCGCCGTTGCACCGCTGCCTGGGGCGGTGGTGCCGGCGCCGGTGCGGGTGGGCGTGGTGCTGGACCTGACGAGCGCCGTGGGGAGGGAGAGGCGCGCCTGCATTTCCAGGGCGTTGGACGACTTCCATGCCGCTCACGCCGGCTCCGGCTCCGCACGGGTCGAGCTGCGTGTGCGGGGCTCGCGCGGGGATCTCGCCACGGCCGCACACGCTGGTAAGTTTAAACCTCCTTTTTCGGTTTATAGGGCTTATTTCAATTTTTTTTGTTTTTTCAATTTAAATGGCTCATCTTCATTTCATTTTTAATTTTCGAGGCGCATTAAATCTCTGCATGCAAGAATTAAAAAGAAACACACCAATGCATGTAATATTCCTATTCATCTACTCCCTCTGTTTCTAAATATTTGTTTTTTTAGAGATTTTAAATGAACTATCACATACAGATGTATATAGACATATTTTAGAGTGTAGATTCATTCATTTTGCTCCGTATATAGTCACTTGTTAAAATATATAGAAAGACAAATATATAGGAACAGAGGGAGTAGTGGCCAAGCATGCATGCACTGCAATTAATCCAAATTAATGCATGAGTTTAATTTAAGTAGTTTTGTAAAGTATGAGATACATTTTTCCACACACAAAATGCTTTGGTTGATGAGATTTCAGATTTGAGCCCTATAAACCGAAAAGGAGGAAGTATCTCCTTTGCATCATTTACATCTTGATAATACGAGCTTAATTTAAGCATGACATACTTGTTTCATGCGACAATTGCACTTCCGGACAAGGGCCTTAAATGTGCTGAAATGATAAAAATCTGAATGTCAGTTTTTTACGAACGTTT